TGGATGGATGGATGGATGGATGGATGGTTGGATGGATGGTTGGTTGGATGGAAGGATGGTTGGATGGATGGATGAATAGATGGATTCATGCATTAAGAGGTATAAGGGGAGCCCTGAGAGTCTCATCAACACCTGGTTCCCACCTCTGATGGAAGGAGAATTTGGAAGCAGGAGAGACTGAGATGGAAAAGAAGCTGAGGTTCCAGAGCCACTGATGGGATAATAGTACTTAGTTATAATGACCATGAAGACAGAGTATCTGAGGAGCATGTATACTTGGCACTAGGGGTGATTGGACTTGGATGACCTGGTTAGAGGAATCATCGGAACTGATTATCTGAAAAAAACAACGATCTGAGGAACAGCAGTAGCTTGTGTGCGTATGTGGGTGAGAGAGTGTATTTGTTACCTTTTGCTGGACAGCTGATTACATGAAACCGAGGGTCCTAAAACAATGGCATTACGATCTCACCGACTGTGGGTTGGGAAGCAGCACAGGTTAGCTGGGTCCTCTGCGCGGGGACTGTGACAGGCTGCGGTCGAGGTGTTGCCTAAGGCCACAGTCATCCCAAAGCTGCGCTTCCAAGCTCGCTCACATGGTTGTTGTCAGCAGTCAGTTCCTCCCGCGCTGTTGCACTGAAGGCTTCAGCTCTGTGTTCGCTGCTGGCTGGAGGCTGCCCTCTGTTCCTGGCCACGTGGGCCTCTCCACAGGGCGACTCGCATGGCAGCCAGCTGCCATCAGAGCAGCCAGCGAGAGTGCGAGCAAGAGGGCCAGTCTCCTGGAGCCTAATCTTAGGAGTGACATCCCATCACTCGTGATGGGGGCAGGGGGAGTTCAAAGCAAATCAGTAGTCCAGTCCGCACTCAAGGGGAGGGGATTCCGCAAGGGCATGAGTACCAGGGACGGGGATCTCTGGAGCTAGCTAGAAGCTTCCTAGCACAGTGAACCTGGGCAGAGTGAGAAAGGCCCTGTGGGATAAAAGGAGCCAGAGAAGGAGAGTCTGGATGCCAGAAATTATCTAGAAGATAAGCAATGTCTGAGGACTCAGAAAGTCTCAAAAAAGGAATGCTTTTAAGGGCAAGAATGGTTAGTCGGGAGAGGGCATGGGTGGGGGGGGCGCAGGAGGAGCTGAGGGGGGAGAGTAGCTGGCGAGATGGAGTAGCTGGAGAGCACGGGGTTTGGAGACAAGGGTTGAGGAGGTCAGAGTAGCTGATGGTGGAGTAGCTGTAAGCAGGAATAGGAAGTAGGATGGCTGGGTTGCTGGGAGCAGCCAGCTTGCCACTCGACTGGAACCCATCAAGGGCCTTCAGCTTTGAGGCAGGTATATTTGCAGGTGGGATGGTGGCTGCTTCTCTGGGAAGGTGCCCTCAGGCCCGGAGGAGTGGGGTCTTGCCTGCTGCTTTGGGGCACCCCGCTCCCCTAGGCATGCGTGGGCCTCCAGGAGCCAGTTTTGGAGAGGACAGCCCTTACCAGAGCCAGAAGGCCCCGGAGAATAGTAGATACAACTTTCCTCCCAACCCCTGCCCCCACCGCCCTGACTCCTGACAAACACAGCTTCTTTCCCATCCCCTCCCCATCCCCCCGGCCCTGCACCAGCCTGTTCAAGCACACCCCTGCTGTCACGCACACCGGAGCTGGGCCGGGTGCCAGTGAGACAGGCTGACATCACAGACAGGCACAGCTAGACTTGGAAGCGGCCGGGCACAGTGGGGCCCACAGAGCCACCTGCTCCCCTGGGGACCCTGGAGGCAGGGCCATTCCCCCCGCTGGGAGCAGCTAGCTGGCTGGCTGTAACTTCCTGAGAAAACTCAGGAATGCTGTGCAGCCTGATCTGCCCATTCTTCTCGGCAGCAGGGGACATTCAACCTCGGCCCCCTCTCCCTGCCCCCCACACCTTCTCTGAGTCTCCCCAGCCAGCCGGGGCAAGCACAGCTGCCCACCCACCAGGCCTGATCTTAGCCATGCTAGCTGTGTTCGCACAGCAGCGTCCAGCCCGGGATGCTCTGGGGACAATCACAGGAGATAAAGGGCCTGCAGACCACCTGCTCTGACTGCCCCCACTTCTCGCCCCCCCC